ATACGAGGCTCTGCTCTGACTCCAAACTGGGAATGATCAGCTGTGTTTTCCTTCTGTGTATCCAGCCCCTGTTCACCATGAGTGTGCAGCAGCAGTACATCAAGCCCTTTTCAGAGGATGAATATGACCAACTCGCCAAAGAGTTTGAAGACAATGCTGTGCGTATTGGTTTCAGTTTGGTTTACCTCAATGTGCTACAATTACTACAGTGTTACAGTATCTGCATCTCTAGCTGTTCTGTGCTCACATCAATTTATCTCTGCATGCTCTGTTTCACTGTGTAACCACACACCTGTGTGGTGTTAAGAGCATGAATTGTAAATAATTTAATTTCACATCCAGTATTTAATACCACTAAATCCCGACAGACCAACCGTAACGTTTACCCTCCGTCTGCTCCATCCTCAGCTCGCTGTTTAGTCTAAAACATTTCCTCCCTGTTGTTTTTGTTTTGGTTGATTTGTCATTAAAACCTTTTTCTTCCTTTGCGTGTAGGTCGCCATGCAGTTCATCATCCTCTACAGTTACGAGGACATTGTGACAGCCATGATCGAGGGTAGTTCTGGATCTGTTTGGAGGATCAGTCCCCCGAGCAGGCAGGAAGTCATTAAAGAGTTACTCGGTCCTGTTGACCTCACGCTTCGTCTGTCCTGGAATTTTCAGAGGTAAAACAATATTCTTCATCTAAGCAACATTAGAGTACATGTTTGTTAGAGAAACAGTTATTGTCTACAGCCATCTCTAAACAGTGAGGCTCATTTCAGCCGGCGGTGGTGGAGATTTACGGCCGAGAGGCTGTGGGTGTGGGTGTGGGTGTGGACTCAAATGCAGACACAGAGGGAGCACAGTGCTTTATTTACAGTGCCTAGTTACCTTACAAAGCAGGAAACTATGAATGCTATGAACGGAGAACTATGAGGCCAAACTATGAACATGAACTCTGAGTTATGACGAGGTGCTAGATTTCATGGATGGATCCTGGGAATGGGAAAAGGGGCGGCGGCTTGGATGGAGGTACGCAGTCACTGTAATGAGGAGACAAGTCAGTGGCAGTCTAGTGAATCACAGCTGAAGGATTAGACTGTGGTGGTCAGGGCTTACGTGTTGCAGGTTAAAATGTCATGCGAGGAGGGGGTGTCCAAGGGGTTCCAGGTGAGGAGTGTCCAGAGAGGATCCAGAAGATACTTGGAGTGAGGGACTTGGCAGGGAGGCAGGCAGGTGTAGTCCAATGATGGAAAGGAAGCAACCAGATGACAGAACCAGCGTCCAGGCGGAGATGTGAGTAGTTTAGCCTGGGAAGTGCGACTGCCAGGTGGGTCGTGAGTTAGCAGAAGATCTGGCAGAGGTCTGTTGTGAATGCTGGTGACTTGATTGGAACCAGGTGTGGAAGCTGATTGGAGTCTCTGCCTGAAGGTGGAGCCCAGCGGAGCGGAAACACCCCGTACTCACCCGGACCAAAACGCACACAAACACTATCAGTCATGGATTGGCCTGCAGTGTGGGATCATCTCTGCACATCTGTGATAAGCTGTTGATTTCATATTTGATCTACGTTCCTGTTCTCACCTACAGTCCTGTAGTAACAGAAAGAACAATAGTGCGGATACAAGCAACAGATACAAGCTTTTTATAGAGGGTGACAGGGCTCATCAGTGTTACTGGTCCTCCTGTGGAGGTGGTTCAGGCATCTCACTAGGATGCCTCCTCGGTGAGGTGTTTAGGACACGCCCTACAGAGAGGAAACCTGGGGCAGCCCTGAGGCCAGTGGTGGGTGAATCTGATCCTTTATCGTAATCTGATAGACACTCACTTTTTCACAACACCACCTGCTGATGGCGAGTGGAGTAGATCTAGCTTTTATAAACAAAATAATTCATAAAATAAACAATAAAAATGGATCACAATGAAAGTATTCTGTCAGATAAATGTGAA